TTCGCATAACTGGCATTTACTTCACTGGCCCCTCTTCAGGCTGCCCTATATTAGCCTGATGGAGTGAGACAGGCCAGACACTCACCTTTGGGACCAAAATATAGTTAAAATTAAATGTAGACAGAATAGCTAGCATTACAGTTGTCTAGTTCCTCACAGATATCCCAAGGAGAGAAGGGACATTTTACTTCAGTAAAACCATCTATGACTTTAAAAAATCTATGACTTATGTTCCTGTCCCCCTGGTATAGGAAGGTTTAAATGGAATGTGAAATGTGACGATTGGCTTTGCCACATCAAATGAGTGACAGGTTAACTAGACAATGTGACAACCACATTTCCTATTAGTTCAAATAATTCTGTCTTCTAAAGCTTTAGCAGCTTAATTAAACCTGTTGGACTGGGGGAGGAGAGAACTGTTCTATAGTAGTTAACAAGGTATTCTTCAAGAAGAAAAAACAAAACCAAAGAAAACTCATTATTTGGCATGTTTGCCTTAAAATGATAGTGGGTAGAATCTAGAGTTTTAACGTCTTTTCAAAGCTGCCTATCTCACATTTGGTTTGGGCTTCTATGTCTAGTATTTCAGGTAGAATTCTAACTATTTTCAAATTTGAGTAAGGGTTTTATGCATTTAACTTCCTACCAAGTTTTCTTCATTCACAATGACATTCTTACCATAGGAGTCTTGACAAAACAGAGTAAAATGTGCTGTGTAAACAGTTTATCTGTGATAAAGTCATCTGAAATAACCTATATTTTTTACATCTAATACAGACCCTGATTTACGTGCACTGTTGTCAGGATCAATTATGAAACTGAAGTTTGCTGCCTCCTTTTTATCATGTTTTTCCCCTTGTAGCAGTTTTATTTAATGTCATTAAAAAGAAATAAAAGTTCTTGTCAGTGGCAAAACAAATAAAAAAAATAAACAAAAGCTATTAACTCTGCCGTTTGAGTAAGGAGAAAAGGTTTGGCTTCAATGATTTATTGTGAACTGACAACTGCATAACCTGCCTTTCGATGTCCTTCTTAAACAAAGCTACTTCTATCAGTGAACTACACCTCCTGAGTGTCTTGGAAGGGCAGATCACTGATATCCTGCCTGCTTGCATAGGTCTGGGAGATCACTTGTTTATAGGAGTGGCTAACTTCCATGCATGTAGACATCAAAGAGGAAGGATTAAGAGTGGTGCAAGTTCTTATAAGAACCTCAGGGGTGTTTAAGAGCTTGGCCTGATACTTGTTAACTCATTTCCCTGGTAACCACAAGAAATCTTTTGTCTGTAATTGCTCTGACCTGATGAGAAGTCAGTACTTCTAATCTCTGTCCTAAAGTTAATTTTGCAGCTTATGTTAGCATAGCTATAACTGCTACTGTTGTCAGGGAGGGTGACCATCCAGCAGCCACTCCATCTAACTTTTTTGAAAAGTATGTCACTGGGTGGAATTACTAGCCTTTGGGTTAAGAACCCCCCAAACCCCCTCTCTTCTGATATATAGAGGAACAAGGTTTTTAAAAGCAAGGTATTATCAGTGCTAGAGTCTGAATAATGGCATGCTTTATTTCTCTAAAGGCATTGTCAATTACTTCTTTTGACTTTAGGGGCACAGACTCATGGCCTTTGACAGCCTCGTATAGAGGCTTTGCCATTAGTTCAAAATTGGGTAGCCAGATCCTACAGAGCCAGACATTCAAAGGAAGAAAGAAAGCTGTTGTTTGGGAGTGGGAGGTCCAAGATAACAGATAACCTGGATCCAATCCCTAGACAGCTGTCATTCCCCAGGTGTAAGAACATATCCCAAATACTGAACTTTTTGGAGGGATATCTGAGCTTTTCCTTTGGAGACCTTATATCCCTTCTTAGCTAGAAATTTAACGGTTTGTATAATATTACAGTTGGATAACTCCTGAGTTGGTCTACAAACTAGAAAATCACCTACATACTATAGGATGGTTCCCTGTTTAAGCTCTAGGTTCTTACGTCTTTCTCTAGTACTGAAGCAAAAAGGTAAGGACTGTCTCTAAAGCCCCATGGGAGAACTGTCCAAGTATATTGCTGTTTTTCTCTTGAAATGGGACTTTCCCATTCAAAGGCAAAGAGAAACTGGAAGTCTTAATGTAGGGGAATGGAAAAAAATGCATCTTTTAAATCTGAGACTAAGAGCCAATTAGTGACCCCTGGAATTTGGGGGAGAATTGCATATAGATATGCCATCAGAGGTTATACTGGAATGACAGCCTTGTTAATGAGGTGGAGGGCTTGCATCAACCTATATTCTTCTTAGAGCTTTCATGCAGGAAGAATGGGTAGTATTTCAAGGGGACTGACAAAGCTGCAGAAAGCCATATTTGAGAAACCTGTCCATGAGGGGCTGGAGGCCTTTATGTGTCTCTTTGACTGGGTACTGCCTCTGGTTAAGAAACTGGCTGGGATCTTTTAGTTTTATATCTGCTTGCATAGCTGAATTTGTCCTACTAAGTATTCAATTACACTATACAGCAAGATCCACCTGTTGGCTAATTTGGTTAGGGAGATCTGGTGCAGTCCCAACAAGCAAAATCTATTCTGGGCTTAGTCAGAATTTGAGAACTGCCCTCAATTTTACTAGTAAATCTCTTCCTAGCAAGGAAGTAGGATACTGTGGGACAATTAGAAACTCATGGTTAAACATGTGGCCTTCAAAGTGACACATCAGAGGAGTAAAGAAATCTCTAAGGGTCCCCTCAACCCCAACTATGGTTATAGACCTAGAGGAGGGTTTTCTAGAGAAGGAAGTCAAAATTGAATGAGCTGCCCCTGTGTCAATAAGTAACTGAACTGGCTCACCCATGGTATCTAAGATCACTCAGGGTTCCTTGCAGGAGATGATCATGTCCATGGACATGAGCACTGTTGGTTCTCATGGCCTCTTCAATCATCTGAGCAGGAAATGAGGGTTTTGTCTATCACAGTTCCTTCTCTGGGAGAAGGCATGGTTAATCCTCTGGTGTCATGATTCAGGTACACTGGCTGCCTCATATTTGGAGCAGGGCCTATTTGGTGGTTGGTACAGTTGTGTGCTGGGGTCCAGTCTTCTTGCACTTGAAACAGGAACTCTTTTGATTGTCTTTGGGTTTCCCCCTTAGATAACCCGGGTGAGTTTAAAGCACTGCCAATTCTGACAGCTATAATCTTAGCCTTTCTCTTTTGATCCTCCTCTGGATCCCGAATGTGAAAAGAAAGATTATGTCCAGCAATTAGGTCATAGGTGCTTGTGGGCCCATCAGAAGTTTTTGTAATTCATGACAAATATCTGGGGCTGACTGACAAATGCAATGTCTGCTTCTCCCTCCATGGATCTGCATTAGTATATTTACGAAAGACTTCTATTAATCTATTACAGAAAACAGCTGAATTTTCCTCTTTGCCCTGTATGACCCCACTCAACTTACCATAACAGACTTCTTAATATACCTTTTCATCCCATAGCAAAAGTAGCTGTTGTATCAAACATCATTTTTAGTCCCTCTCTAGTATTATAGTTCTAGTTTGGTTCCATTAAAAGGACAATAGCTTTTCCAGGGTGGTTTCTTCCCCTTCTTAAAGCATAGTGCTCATGTGCATAGATCCTAGTCTATTATAGGATTCTTTGACTTTTACCCTGGGTACAGCAAGATGAATTGGACATTTTGCCCTAATAAGTCAAAAGAAAGGATCAAAGTTTAAAACACATCTAGAAATTTACTAGGGTCCTTGGGACTCTCTTAGGGGCAGGACAAGTTGTGAGTTAGGGGAATAAGAAGTGCCACTTCAGGTTCATCATGTAGGGGTTACAGCTGTCTTGTGTGCACCCAGTGGGACCCAAGGCTATCTGAAGGACATGATGAAGGGACTGAGGAATTCTGGGTTCCACTGGGGCACTAGGCTCTAGTGTAGTTCCTGAATCACTTGGAGGGGATGGACCTGATTTACTGGCCCGAGGGTTAGTAGGAGGAGATCAAAGAGACCTCCCAGTGTGGTTCTCATCATTAAACAGCCTGGAGAGATCCATATCCCTGAGAGACAGGATCATCAAAGATGTCTTTCTCTTCCACATGGGCCCCTCTATATACTATAGTTTCTGAGTAAATGCCTGAACATAAGTCACTGTTAGGGTATGGAAACAGTTGGCAAACTTTCAAGGATCCTCAGAAAATCTACCCAATTTTTCCTTGTATTGTGGAATATTATAACTGAAAAGGGAACTAGCACTTGGACTATATCATCAGTGCTTACTGGGCTACTGATGCTTATGGTATCTGGTGAGGTCTGTAGGCTGCTGTGCAATAAAGTTCCTTGGCTCCCTGTCTAATGAGGTCTCCTGAGGTTTGGTGAGGTCCTCCTGGCTGGCTCGCCAGATTGTACAGTAGAATGAGCTAATAATAGTTAAGGTTCTTGTGTATTAGGACCAAAGAATTCCCAAGTGTACACCCAGTAGTAAGTAGTAAGCGCTATGCTTAATGAAGATTATGGAAGTTGTGCTCAGGGCCAGACCATACTAACAATGGTATAACATAGACCAAGAAAGGTGCCAGGGTGACAGAAAAAGGGTGACCTGCATACAGGTCAAAGGTAGCAGCAGCAACAGGAAAAAATGATCAATAGCTCAGGCTTTCAGAATTTAAATACCAGACACCACTCCTTTACATGTCTCCCACTGAATTTCCCTGGTCAGCCAATTCTCTGGCATATGTGCTCTCTGGGTATCTGTGTATCACATGGGCTTTTGTTATTTTACCGGGTGCTGTTTAGAGTCAAATGAGAGAGAGGAGTGATTCACTCAGCTCCTTTGTTTCTAAATGTACTAAAGTCAGTATGATTTTTTAAAAAGAATGGAGCAAAGACTTCACTGAATTGGTTTTTTTTATAAGAATTTATCTTTACAAAAAAAAGGTTTAATTTCTGGAACACTAAATTCAATTCCTATAACTTTCTACCAACATAATTAAAAGCTGTAACAAGGAACTTTAAACTTACCTGATATAAGACGTTTTTGACACTGAGGAACATATTTTTCAAGGAGACGTTTCATACGAGAATCTTTGGCCTCATCCAAAGCACACTTTCCACTGTCAGTTCTAATTAATGGGTCAGCTCCACTCAAAAGAAGTAACTCTGCCACCTAGAAAAAGATTGTTTATGTAAGAAAGTCCAGAGAAAGTGTATGAATGTAAACAGGTGCTAGCACATACTAAATGTGTGCTTTCAACAATACCTCTGGGATTACTTATAACATCTTTAGTCAACAACAAAAAAATTAATGTAGTTGCTACTCAAAGTTAATTTTTTAATACACAGATCCCTTCTCTTAAAAAAACAGTGGAGCGGGGAGAAAGGAAAGAAGGAAGGAAGGTGGAATGAAGCAGTTGCTTTTGTTTTTAACTGAAAAATTTAAAGGAAACAAAGCCATTGTCTTGCTCACCTGTTTTTAAGTTATTTCTCCATCCCAGTTCCCAACATGCAATCATCTAATGTTGAACTCTGATACTGAATGGAAACAGTCCCCCAAGCCCTGGTCCCCTGGGACCAGAAAGATGCCAAAAGAACCAAACCCAAACCAAACCAAAGCACCACATTGGTAACCCCACACAGCCTGATGCATATGCATATCTCTGAGCTTCTTGCTTCTATTTTCCCCCCTTTCATTCTACTGCTTCTGAGGGTTCCAGGAGGCAGAGTACCTGCCATCCTAGTTTGGCCAAACTTTAAATAAATCCATTTTCCTTTCATCATTGTCTCTTCTCTTACTCCCAATGTGGTGGGTGACTGAATACAATTCAATGGGATCCCCATTAGCAGGAATAGAAGAGGGAGAAAGGAAAAGGAGGAAGGAAGTAAGGGGAGGAGGCTAGAAATGTTTGCAGTTCAGCTGCTGATGAAATGAAGCTAGCAAATATGTCAGAAATTAGGACTGGGTTCTGCAGTAGTGTAGTAGCTCAGTATAGTTATTATGTGTAGGCACTTAGAGCAGTTTAAGAATAGGGTCAGATAAAAGAGCTAATTTAACCAATAGCTGGTTAACCAAGCAGCCACTAAAGCTTAGAAATGTAAAAGAAAACACAAGACCAGAGGATAAGAGTTGGAATGAGACTAGAAAAATAAGAACTATTCCCTTCAGGAAGAAGACTTAACCAGTTAACAGTTTTAATAAGTCTCCTCTGCCTCTAGTCCCCAGACAAACAAATGCAAGATAACCAGTTTTCTTTTGAATTCATTTCCTTTGAAACAAGTTCTCAGGCTCTCCCTATGTACATAAGGCTAAGACAGAGAAAGTATATTGGACATCTTTACCCTCCTTCTGGATCTTCCCTATAAGCTTTTTCTTCACATTATTGTCAGTAAAGTTCTTATTACTTCTTACTTTGGTTCAGGACTTCCTCCTTCATTGTTCATGGGACAATGAGCTTGGCTTATACAGTAATGGCAGTTATAGTGGCAAATGTAATTTAACAGGTTCCAGTAGATAATTACATCTTCCTCTCTATATGTACATAGGTATATATGGTACTGCTATTCTTCCTCAGAAGATCAGGAAGAAACTGGGTCACTCCTTATTCTGCTACTCATTCTTAAGTATTCTCATCAATGAGCTCTTCCTGGCCTCTTTCCACCTACTGCCGCCCCAGGTAAAAACGGTGTCTCCCTAATTTAATGTACCTATTTTATTATAAAAATCAATACACTCTATATTAGACTTTTACAAGTTTTTCCTATTACACTGTTAAATTTCTTGAAGGTGGAATTATGTTTTTCCTTTTCTATTAATTTATAATTCTTGACTAGGTCATTAATGAATATAGTACAAATTCAGATACCCGATAGCTCAGAAAACCTCAAAAGAGTATGTAATGAAAGTTAAGTTTTCCTGGGGAAGGGAGGAGGGGGTGAAGGAAGGGCAGGGATAAGGGGAAAAAATGAGAACCAAGACCTGTCATGTAAAGGTACAAGATCCCAATGATGAATGTAACTGTACTGTATACCTAAAATGTACCAATAAACTCAATGAGGAAAAAAAAGTAAGTTTCCCTCCTTCATGCCTGTCCTCCAGAAATATTTTCCTGAGTCATCCCTAAAGCTCCCTCTGAATTTTTCCAGCATTAGTCTAGTCCAAAAAGTCTGAACATATGTATCACATGTATGTACACAGATTTTCTTACACAAGTGGCCATATATTATGCACACCTCTCTGTATCTTGCCTGTTTTCCCCATCCTCTCAACAATAGTCTTTAGATCTAGCTTCATATTAGTGTAGATTGCACTTCATTCCTTTCTTTTTAAATTAAGTTTATTGGTACATTTTAGGTATACACTATGCTGACATTCATTTTTGGGAAATTGTACCTTTACATGATATATTTTGGTTCTTATTTTTTTTTCCCATTCCCCTACCCTACCTTCAATCACTCACCCTTCCCTATTTATAAAGACTTTGTTTCTGTTTTGTTCTTTGCTCAAATATTTTCCTTTCCCTTTTCTTTCCACTAACTTTCCCAATTCCCCTTCCCCTTTTTCCCTTTGGACCTTTCCTATTTCACATTAGTATACATTTTGGCCATCATTAACACTGAGGGTATTTTTCTGAGTTCCCAACTTTGAACATCTTTAAAGAAAGGGCACCGGAAATCTGTAGTAGAAGGGTGTGGAGTTCAACCATTCAGAAGGTTGGGGAACTCAATCTGGGCCTTGCAGCTCGAGGTCAGTCTGCATCAAGGGGTTCAGCCATCAGCTAACTGAGATCGGGGGTCTTGCATGCTCACTCTGTCTGAGTCATTAAATGGTAAATATACTATATTGAAAAGTTTGTTCACTGCAGACATGTTCTGCAGTGCTTCTTGATTTCAATTTAATTCAAATGGTTTAAGGGTGATAGACTAGTGACTACCACAGGTGGTCAGTTTCCAAATTGTGCTTGATCTTAATGTGTTGCTGATTGTATCAGTTGGGGTAAAGCATTGCGGTTGATTTGATGAGCTGTTTTCTCTGATGTTATGAAGATGAGAATGTCTGTGGGTCGTTAGAGACCCAGAAGCTAGGGCGCAACTATATCAGGAAGATTTGGGTGATAACCCAGAGATTAAACCAAGGACAGCCCCACAACAAAAATAAAAATGAGAAAACACTTAAACAAGACACAAGGATAGACTTCCAGTTCACCAATGGCAGACAGTAGGGCAAATGAGGATGCAAAGCCCGACAGTGAACCAACAGGACACCCTGAACTCAAATCATAGGAAGTAACAAAACAGATCAATCAGGCTCTGGTAAAATTCAATACAGAAATAATTTCCCAGATAACCATAGAGATAGTGAGCAAAATGGAAGTCATGATTCGAGACTCTAGAGCAGAAACTTACAAAAAAATAGATGAGCTCAGGACCACCATAGAAGCCACGAAGGCCCAGCATAAGAAAGAAATGGAAAAAATAAATGCCCAACATAGGAAAGAAATGGAATCCATAAAACAGATTCAAACAGATATCCAGGAGATTAAACACTCTATTGAAAGTGTACACAACAGAATAACAGAATGCAAAGACAGACTCTCAGATATAGAAAATAAGATTGTAGTCAGTGACCATGAAAAGAGAGGTCTCTTAAAAACAGTAGGGGATCATGAGAAAATGATCCAACAACTCCTAGATGATGAAAAGAATAACATAAGACTGATAGAAATCCATGAACTAGCAGGAGAAGATACAAATGACTTAAAAAAGCTGTTCACAGAATTAGTGACAGAAAACTTCCCAAACCTAGGGGAAGAATTTGACATGCAGATAACAGAGGCATATAGGACCCCAACTAGCCACAATAAAAAAAAATCTATACCTAGACATATAATCCAGATCCAAGATCCCAGAAACCCAACAGAAGAACAAAATACTACAAAGCAGTAAGAGAAAAGAAACAAATCACATGCAAAGGAAAGCCCATCAGAATCACAGCAGACTTTTCAACACAAACCCTTATGGCAAGGAGAGCCTGGAATGAGATATTTCAAGTACTAAAAGAGAACAACCTCCAACCTAGACTGATGTATCCTGTAAAACTCTCTTTCAAAATGGATGGGGAAACAAGACACTTCCACGACAAAGAACATCTGAGAAACTACATGAATAGCAAACCAGCACTACAAGCAATTCTAAACAAGATCCTAGAAAAAGACAATGAAGGCAACAACACAAGGCCCAACAGAGCAAATCAAATAGGCAAGGCAAGAAACTAAAAAGAGAAGGTGAAAAAGTAAAAAGAGTCAACAAAAGGCCAATAACATGTCAATAATAAGTCAGTACATATCAGTTATAACCAGCAATGTCAATGGCCTCAACTCACGAATCAAGAGAAATAGACTGGCAAAATGGAATAAGAAGCAAAATCCAACAATATGTTGTATACAAGAAACACACCCAGTGCAAAAAGAAGCCCATAGACTGAAAGGATGGTAAACAATTCTCCATGTGACAGGAGCCCAGAAAAAAACAGGGGTAGCAATCTTATTTGCAGACAAAGTAAATTTCAAACCAAAACTGATTCTAGTATTATTGATGTAGGACAGTACTGTATCATACCTCTATGAATGTAAAATATCTAGTACCTGCTTTATGATACATAGTACTGACTGTGCTTTATCAGAGCTACATTTAATGATATTACTCTAGAATGTTCTCTTTCCAGATGATGATTAAGATGCTAATAAAAAAATGGTGCCAGGTACAACAGCAACAGAACTTTGCTGTTTTCTGGATATTATTATTTTCTTTGTTTTTTTGTTTTTTTTTTTAATGCAATGTGCTGAATATCTATAATTTTGTTCAGATGACTGCAGAACCTGGAAAAGCTGTTGCTGCTATTGATGCATA